TTATTAGGGGAGACGAACCATGTATCATATTTTTAACACAAATGCAAACGGTTGTAAAATTTTTAAAATATATTTGTATTGTTAAGTTATGTAAATTCTTTTATACTAAGTACTATATTTACACACAAAAAAAAGTTTATTATTTTTTTAATGAGAAAAAATCTATTTAGTATGTGTCACGGCCTGGTTCTTGTTGTAGGCCTGATGACGCGAATGTCTCTGTGTTGTAGATACCTCTTCTGGTACTACTATAATGTTCTTCTTAACTAAATACTTTCTCACACGTACTAGATTTGCAGGTGCGTGAGAACACTAACATACTGAACTCTCCGACCACAACATTTAGAATTATTAATAGACTCACTCTCTACAAGAGTCCAAGATCAACTGAGGTGTTCACCTCGTGGTCAGCTTCCAACCAAACAAAATCTCGTGCTAACTGCACGGAATAGTTCAGTGACTACTAGTCACCAAATATTACAAGGGTTCTAAAACTGATATATGACATACGCCCCTTCCCCTGGAAAAGATTTTTGACAAAAATCTTTGACAAAAGTACATATGATAGTAGTATCCTATACATATGTCTAGTAGCTTAATTACTCATGTCAAGCTTGATCTAATTAATCACTTCAATACTGCTTGCTTAATTATACATAAGTAATGATGTCATGTCATTCATTTCAACTATGAATGGTTCCACATACTAACTGACAAATATATTGTTCAACTCTCAAAGTGTTTGCTTAGAAAAATGTACATTAGTCTCATTACATCTACTATACACGCATGTTATTGAAAAAATATCAATACAATTTGAAGCTTTAGTCTCCTGAAATATAGTTACATAATAATAGATCATCTATTTACAATTATACTGAAAATATTTTGCATGAGCATGTTTAATTGCTATGTGCTCATTCTGTTAACATACATTGACATCTCAATTTTGAGAAGAAAAAATTAAAGTTATTTTACATCCAATTATTTATATAATATAACACAACCAATGTGTATCATTTGACACACTAAGTGCATTTATTGAAGTAGTTCCCAATAAAGTTTACATACATCTATACAAGTATATTTGTGTTCAGTATTCATTATATCACTCTGTCACAATTATGTAAGGTTACAATGACATTGTCTATGATTGTTATTAATAGCACACATATGTGGTAGTTAAAGTACAATAGCATAAAAATGATAGCATTCAAGTGTGTACCACTTGGAAAAAAATCAACAATATTTACATTGTGAGTTGTTTTTCAAAGAATTCAGGTCAACAGTTCAAGTAGTTCACTGTTGTTTACAATATGCTTGTTTACATTGCTGTGTATGTTTATTAATTATATAAACTATTAGCACATCTAGTCATTATCAAATTCTATGTTATTGGCAAATTGTGATAAGTAAATATATAGTGTACAATTAATTAAGAAATGATAGTACAATAGCATCAATAAAAAGAAAAAATGTCATCCTGACCCAATAAAATGGTACCAGTAAGTGTAACAAAAATATGTCATGACCTAGTTACATGATAGCAAAAAAAATTTCAGGTTGCCATGATTTAAAAATGTCAAGTTGTTTCTAATTACATTGTGAAGTTACTCAGTTAAAATACTTTGACTGATGTGTACAATATCATTGTCCTCATTTGTATCTGTTGGTATTAGTGAGTGTAACAAAAATATTCACATGTTTCACCCTTCTTTGCTGCCCATTCCATAATTTCTTCTTTACTTACATCATTTACGTCATCAACATTACCAATTATTAGATCTTTGGCTGGTCTATCTATAATAATAACATCTACTTCTCCAGTTATCCATGGAGTGTCTAAGTATACTCTGGCTGTATCACAAATATCAAATTTTTCTTGATTAGCATATACAAGTTTGATCTTTTTTGGCAGTATTTGATCTGGTTTTACTAGTTTAGAATTTAATATGGCACGGCTTCCTGTATCTCTGAGGGCTTCTACTTTAATTCCATTTACGTATGAGGGGTATAGGTTTAACTTTGGCTTGTCGTACTGCATGTATGCTATTAATTCTTCCCTAATGCCATGACTATTGCTATTATTATTGCTATAGTTATTATTTGGACTGTGGTTAACTCTATCATTTCTATTTCTGTTCTGATAGTTAGTGTTGTAGTTAGACTGATGGTTATATGTGTCTCTCCTTGATTGTCTATTAGTATTATAGTTATTGTAATGGAAGTTGTTATTCCTAAGGCTCCTTCTTTCTTCTGGGCCTTGCACTCTAGTTTGATCTGTAGTTTCTATATTGATTGTTATAGTTACTAGGATTGTTGTAAATTATTTTGATTGTAGTTGCTAGGGTTGTGGTAACTAGTGTAGCTTCTATATCTGAAGTAGCTAGTATTAGTTTGTCTGCATTGGCTTTTAACATGGCCCTTCTTGCCACAATTAAAGCAAATTTTTGAGTTAGAAAATTTGAATTTGTTATTACTATTACTGTTGCTCTTTCTTTCACACAGGTAGCTCTAGGAACAGGGTTGACTTCTGCTTTCGGTTCCACACAGGTAGCTCTAGGACCAGGGTTGATTTCTGCTTTTGGTTTCACACAGGGTTGAAGGTGTAGATGAATCTCAGCATTCAGATGTAGAATAGCTTTGGCAAAGCTATTTACGTTACTTGAATGGCTCAATCTGCCGTAACTGGTATTGATGTCTAACTAGTTTTTGATCGAGTTAATGACCTAGTTAGAGATGACCTGAATTTCAACATGTGTTGGAATCTTGTCTAGACGGGGGCAGGCAAGTTTGTTCTGTGGCGTCCTACGTTTTGATGATGTTTTATAGCTTGCTTTATTACAGGTTGGACTGCTATGTCTTGTAAATACCTTAATTGCCTTGTAGATCTTGTGAGCAATCTGGATTTAGTCCATGCTTAGTTTGACGCCATCTTAAGATGTTTTGGTGTTAGATGTAATCTTGCGCCAAACGAGAAATCTAGGTTCACTGTCTTTAAGACACCTTTACTGGCCACCATATGTCACGGCCTGGTTCTTGTTGTAGGCTTGATGACGCGAATGTCTCTGTGTGTTGTAGATACCTCTTCTGGTACTACTATAATGTTCTTCTTAACTAAATACTTTCTCACACGCACTAGATTTGCAGGTGCGTAAAAACACTAACATACTGAACTCTCCTACCACAACATTTAGAATCATTAATAGACTCACTGGTAGCAGGCATGGTTTTTATTCCCATAATATATGAAATATAATTCACAAAAGATATTGGCGACTTCAGCCATTACAAATTATACATCCAAAGAAATAACTTAATAATAATCACTTTGTACTTTTACTTTCTACTCGAGGAGATAGCAACGGTCCTCTCTCTACAAGAGTCCAAGATCAACTGAGGTGTTCACCTCGTGATCAGCTTCCAACCAAACAAAATCTCGTGCTAACTGCACGGAATAGTTCAGTGACTACTAGTCACGAAATATTGCAAGGGTTCTAAAACTGATATATGACAGTGTGCATATAAGTTGGACATAATTTAAAACAACAATTAATAAGTAGTTTTTCACATCTAACTTTACATTCACGTTCGCACTAAATCGGACTAGTTAGACCGCTGGGGCACCACACGAGATCTGTTAACAATTTTTTCTCCATTATTTTCTTTCATTTGTCTTTGATAGAATTTCATTCTGATAATATTGAAACCTACCAGGGTGGACCACTTCGGGGGCTGATTTTCTGTTTGTGTTTCCACACAAACTGTCTTTGTAACCTTGTTGTTAAAGAAATGAATATACTGACGGTCAATAAATTCTGACCACTGAATAAAAAGTTTTTCTTTCCTTTTTTAGTCTCCTAAAGAAAGCCTTTCTAGACTTTTACATAATTCTTAACCTTTTCATTTACATTTACACCTACACTAAATGACCTATTTACCTGGTCATTTACACCTACACTAGTCCTAATCCACATGACTAGCCATCTGTGTTTAACATCAATCCTTGGGAGGGCCGCCTCGAGTGTTGTGTCAGCCTCAGTGCACCGTACACCCACTTTTTTTTTATTTTCTAAAAAAAAATCGTAACTTATGTTTTGGAGTTTCTAATTAGTTGTACGTAGATTCAATGTGAAAAGGTGCATATGTTAACAAGTCAACACCTATTGCTTATCATTTATATGACCGAATTATAAGTTTTCATAGTATATGTTTTTAATGCAAGACGCATATCATTACTATAATTTCTTATAAAAATATTAATTTATTATTTAATATTGTTAATTGGAATCGATAATTTATTAAAACACTTCTTCGTTGCTATCAGTGATACAGGACAAATTTCTATTCTTCATAATTCTCAACAGAGTTCCTTTCCATTTATATATGATTGCTCTTCCATAGAATCAGTTATTTTCAACTGTAAATTGGAACCATTTTTTTTCTACAAATCTTCGTTGCTTATATTTGTAACGCTACCTAATTTGTCTATAATGTAATTAATGACTGTTGGTTTTTCTTTCAACTTGCTTAATATGCCAATAACTGCATTTATTATTGTATTGAAAATGACATTTTTAAATCGTGATCAAGTTTATCCTAATACTCGTCATCATACGTCTTCTTATCCTGGACTTTTAGGATGGCGGACATTCTGTATCAGTGCCCCATGGAAACGCTTCAAAGACCAGCTTAGGCGAAAAACTTTCCTTGGCTGACATAGAAAAGAGCACCTGGCTGCATGCGGCGTCGGAACGAGACAGCTGGAGGTTACTCACGAAGGCCGCGGGATACCAAATGAACATCTGCTGCCGAGGACAAACGCAGGCGACGAAAAGAAAATCTAAATCGACCACCTGCGGACAATGGTTATACTTGCCCTGGATGTGGCAAAATATGCAGGTCACAGCTGGGGTCGCGCAGCCACGGGAAATACTGTATTACTCATTAATCTTCGGACTCGAAGACAAGCCTTATTATAATTATTATTATAACAAAACAACAAATAAATTAACAATTCTTTAGTTTTTTACCTAGACCATTCGCAGTGGTCATTTTTATTTATTAAATTACTAATTTTTTATTAAAAAAAGGTAACTTCGGAACAATCTTTTGTATGTCTCCATATTTTGTCCGCCTGCGTACAATACTGTCAATACACGCATAAGCCTGACCCTTGGAGCCCCTTATGAGTTTGTGTGATAACACAAACAATCTTTTTTATGACTAAATTTTACAAGCAATGCCATGGTTCCTCTTTCAGACCTTGTGGTCTATAGGGTAGATGATGTAAAGGCCATCTGTTTCCGTGGCCTAAGGTTAATCTGCATTAAAAGATGTCATTGGTTTAATAATAGGAAATTCTTTTCCTATACAAATGTAATAGAGTTTGATTACTTCTGTACAATTATGCCAGTTTATTTCGTCTTTACCAGAAGTAGTATTGTAGAATCTTTTGTTTGTTTTGTTTTGTCGTTTGTTTTGTGTTGAGTTTATTTGTAATAAATGTATCCACATATAATTTCTCATGAATTTAATACTTCTTTTATACATTCACGATTTATAGAGAAGCAACATTCTCAAAAAAAAAAAAAAAAAAAAGATTTCTCCTTAAAATTCATTCCAAGTCTTCTGTTTCCTCTTCTTTCTCTTGGATTGGAGATTCAATTTCCATTACAGGAAATGGAGAAAATGTTAAGAGCAGCGGGCCCAACAACGAAATTAGTAATGAGCCTAAAGGTGCGGTAATCAAGATGGACAAAACTGCCAAATTCAATACCTGAAATAAGATTGTGTCCCTGTTATTGTCTTTATTGTCGGTAGTATATACATATATAAATATATATATATATATATTTGTTAGTAACAAATATATGCACTATATATATACACACACACACATATATATACATATACACGCATACACACACACACATATACATATATATATATATATACATAACTCTACCTCTAGTGTCGGAGCTATAGGGTTAACATGTTTGCGATCTACTCACATACTAAAATATGCGATCTAGAAGGCAGATGATGTTAAGGTGACAGTACTAGTACATACAAAATTATTCTTGATTGTTCATGTGATTAAAAAGCCTTCGAAGAAACAGAGACAGAGACTTTCAGGCAGTTCGGTTCAGTACAGCGAGGACAGCGCTACTGTTACTCTATTGTGATGTTAGTCCCGGTTCTGTCAGTCCTCGAGTGAAGCAGTATGAGTCCAGGATGAGAGAGACAGACTAAGGGAGTTCAGTACGGTAGTCAAGTTACGTACAGTGAAGCATTTTCTAGTCAGTGTATCGTGTTGCCGATTGTGTAGCATTTACTGTTGATGTATTAGTTATTTAACTATCATATTATATCTTTAGTTATCTTATTTTAGTTGTCAATTTCTTCAATTAGATGTGTTTAGACAACCTAATAGTGAAATCGTAACTATATATATATATATATATGTATGTATGTATGTGTGTGTGTGAGAGAGAGAGAGAGAGAGAAAGAAGTACAAAGTAAGTAAAACAATCTTCCGGTGTTTCAATATATTGCGTTACGGTACCTGTTTGCCAAGTATTTCAGAAGTAATATCATTATTTTTTCGGGCCAAATCATATGCAACAGTTCCAATAGCAGCCTGAAATGGCAATTATAAAGTAAGAGTTAAACAATGTTACCACTGATACAAATAGATGACCATCGTATAGCACACATTTTTGGACAAGTTAGTAAGTTTATACTGGGTCCAATTTTCAACACCCTTGGTAATAACTGTAATCATCAGTACAAAATATCCTTCTATAACTTTTTCAACTTTGTAGTGCTGTTTTTATAATGATAGTTAGCTACACATTCTAGTAAACCATCTTAAAAACTACAGATCATTACAATTATAGATAACTAAAATAACTCTGCTTTCAATAAGGAAAAGAAACAAATGTGATGCTAAAAGCTACAGATGTAGAAGCAGATAAGCAATAAAGTAAGTGATTACTTTCTCCATTGTAGTCATTGTGTGTTGTTTGTTTTTTTGTAAATAATACAACGTAAAAAAAAATAAATAAATTTTTTTATTAAAAAGCACAAAAAGAAAAGAAAAAAAAGCTCGTTGGGTGTGTGTTAAGTTTTAATGTAAGCAGTTGTTTTTAAATATTTATCTCTGCCACAATGTCAGTATAAATAGAAACGATATTTTTAGTTGACATTGCGTTAATTAAGTTTAAGTGTTAAAACTTAGAAGCCATAAGTCTGACAATGCTAGACAAAACACATTGACCTGAACTGTTGCTTTTGGTAGCCAAGCCGCTGCCACAAAAGATCTCTCTTTATACGTGAGATTGGTGAAAAATACTGACAAAAAAGAAACACAAACTCTTGCAAACAGACCAATAGCTAAAACTGCAATGCCTAGTCCTGTGACAGAAAAATACATAAGTCATTACTTTCAAGTTATAAATATTTTAAATTTTAAAGCTATAAAATGTTATATTATCACAATACACACTAACAATACTGATGTTTAAAAGTTACACTCCATTTTTATTAATGTGAAACAAAGAGAGACCAACCAGCAGAGACTAATACACAGTGAATACACACTACTGACACACTTAAGAGTAAACCGTGAACACGTGAACATACTGAACAGTAGAACAAGGGAGACTACATGAAAACAAACAAACACACACACAACATACATAAACATAAATACACATATAAATGTAACATAAAACTAATTCTTATATTTTGTAAAGATTATAAATTGATTGTGCTAATTTAGAAAATGAAACGAAATTCAGACTTATTATTTCAATCAAATTTATATATATTTTTTTTTTATTTTTAGCGGCCCCCGATAGGGGAAAAGACGCTATTAGTTTTGTGAGCCTTGTCTGTCCGTCCGTTCTTCTGTCCGTCCGTCCGTGCCGGTATGATCTCAGAAACTAGAAGAGAAAATTATAATCGGACATCATATTTTAGATCATTCAAAGTTCTGATGCAACGACTACTTTTTTCTTTTCCGAAAGCAGATTTTTCAAACCAATACACAACAATTCAATGAAAAACTTCAGGGGAGGTAGGCCTTTTAAAAAGTCACAGACTTCTTCATTAACAAATCAAGCTTTATTTATAGATTCGCGCATTGGTACAAAAAAAATGCATCTTGAAATAATTAAAAAAGTATCAATGGATCATTATAAAATAGATTTTCCGTTTATTAACTAACTCATGGAATAGAATACTGATTCAAATGTTGTTTTAAAAAAATAAATTTAATACGATCTTCGTTTAAGTTAAAAGTTTAAAAAAAAACCAACTACTTTTATAGCGCGTAGGTTTGAAGAATCGACATTATAGGGGCCTACACTTGACAGTCTAAATAAGACTAAATAGAGCCCAGATCTAGAAATATTTATAATATAATATATATATATACATATATATGTATATATTACTAATGTATTTATAATTCATAAAAAAATTTTACGGCAATAACTTATCTTCTGACAGCTTAGGGGGTGCAGATTTATTTATTATGTAAACAGTAGTATCACATTAAGAAATGAATCGGATACGAACAGCATAATACACCTTTACCCGGTAACAAAAGGCCTACTAATCGTGATCATAACATTGGCCTAGGTCTAGTAATTTTAAGATTAAACGTGTAAATTCATACGAGTTCTGGTCTAGATATAGTAGATTCTATATCAAGATTCTATATCTAGTTCTAGATCTAGATCTAGACTTAGATCTAGATCTAGACTTAGATCTAGATATAGACTTAGATCTAACTCTAGATCGAGACTTAGACAGATCTATTTTAGTTCTAGACCTAGACTTAGATCTTGAATCTAGATTTAGATCTAAAACTAGGTCTAGATCTAGCTAGATCTGTCTAGTTTGTATGACAAATGACAATGGAGATATTAATTTTTATTTCCGAGGGGAAAGTCTTGCTTGTAAAGTCATTTGAATACTTCCGTAGCCTACTCTGTAGCTAGCTCACTAGCTAAAGTCAACTAAAATGCTAAAGTAGGTCAGGAATTTTTTTTTTCGTGTTGCCAATTTATCTAAATTTGTAAGAAGAATAAATCTTTTTTAGTTTCTCTTTATTACATGTAACATATTAATAATTTTAAATGTATGGATAACTATTATTTTAAAAAAATATAAGTGTACGCTAAATGAATATCTGGAGATGTTGTGGCTGAGGGGTAAAGCACTTGGAACCGGAAGTCTCGTGTTAGAATCCTGGTGAAGACTCTAGGTGGACCACTTCGGGGGCCGATTTTGAGTCTGTGTTTCTACACAAACTTTCTTTGTTACCTTGGTTTTTATTAAAGGTTCATTTTTATTTTAAATCAATTTTTTTTTCAAAAGTTGCACTTACTTTACTACAAATGTTATAAGTGACTCTTACCTCCCCTAAATGTTTAACACCATTTAACATAGAATTATTACAAATTGTAAAATATATATATTAAATACTAGCTTTTATTTAAATGTACATGTATATTTCTATTGCAGAATTAAATAATTAATTTAATCAATTGATTTCAGTTGTCTTAATGCTGGTGACTTGAATGGAAGTTTCATTCAGCTAGCTGAGCTTACCAATGACATCAAGGTCTAACTTGAAAATATCCACTTCTGAACCAATTAGACCAAATAGAAATGGCTGGAATATCATCCATACTACATCAATCACATTCTCTACAGGATTCTAGACAAGAAAACAAAAAACTACATTACTACTTAGTCTTAACTAGATATCCCAGTGTATAACAGCAGTAGGTATAGGTACTAGTTTAAAAGAAAAGAACAAGCATGATGGGAGTGTTTTTGTCCAGGACTTCCAGTCTTATAAAACAAGATGGAGTGTTGGAAGCCAAGAGGTGCCTACTTGTGGTGATGGTGTGTGCTGTAACAAAACAAGCATTGGGCTACAGTGTAGTTGTAATAATAATAAAAATAATAGTCTGCAATGGTCATCGACACCGCAATACCACTATCCCATAAACTAAGAAAAACTATAAGAGAAAAAATAACAAAATATGAAAAAAAAAAAGAAATAAAGAGACAATTGAAATGAACTATAATAACAATCTACCCTGTTATTATATCTTCCTCCAAATAAATCTGTCACAGATCCAGACATTCTCAAAGATGGCCAGAAATTAGCAAACGTCAAAATGTTTGTCTTTCTGGGAAGCACCATATCACCAAACGCCAACTTAGATGATGAGGTAGACTTACGTGTTGCTCGTGCCAGTGCTGCTTTTTTGCAGACTTCAAGGACAAGTGTGGCTACGGAAAGGACTCAGCATATCCACAAAACTGAAAGTCTACAGTGCTGTAGTTCTCCCGTCACTATTATATGCATCAGAGTCTTGGAGCCTACATTCCCGCCACACCAAAAAGTTAACCCCATCCACCTACGCTGTCTAAGGAGTATCCACAGGGTACGTTGATCCGGCCAAATACGAGACACAGAAATCTAAAAGCTGTCCAACATGAACAGTATCAAAGCGACAGTAAAAAGGTCCCAACTTCGATAGGCGGGACAAGTAGTCTACATGCCAGACGTTTTCCCAAACGACTTCTGTATGGGGAGTTATGTGCAAGAAAGCGCTTCCAGGGAGGTCAATACAAGCGTTACAAAGACACTCTCAAAGCTCTTTCAAGGAATTCGATTTCGACATTCACGGCTGGGAAGCACTAGCTCTCAATCGCTCCTTGGCTGTGAGTCTCGGAGTCTCAAGATTTGAAGCAACAAGAGTGGCTAGGGTGAAAGAGCGCCGAACCAACAAAAAGCTGAGAGAAGAAACAAGCCTATCTGCAAATGAACCCATGCCACATCTTCGAGTCAGTCCATAGGAAATGAGAAACTTGCACATCTCCGACCATGAAGGAGGAGCTATATATATCCTAAGAAGAGGCAATTACTGCAACGTCATTAGAAAATTATTCAGTGGACGCCATTGAAGGGACTACAATGATTTTGTTTCCCATTAACTGGCTTTAACAAACCTCAACCCAGGCAGTGCCAGAGAATGAAAATTAATTTATTTCTACAATAATATTAATAATAATAATATATCAATTATCTTCGAGAAATATGTGCCCTAATTCTAAAGTGGAGTTCCTAGTCTTCATATACTTAACTCTTTCACATTAATTTTTAGCAGCCCCCGTAAGGGGAAAAGCCGCCCGCTACTAGGTTTGCGCAAAATGTACGTCTGTCACACTCAGATCTCGAAAACTAGAAGAGATATGAAAAATATTATTTCACCATGCGATGCGGCTTAAAACGTTTAGGTGCAACGGCTACTTTTGGTTTTCTAAAAGCAAACCGTTTAATTTATAAAATTTATTATGCAAGCAATTTTTTCATAAAAATACACCAATTCTAAAACAATTACGTAAATGTAAGGGAGGCAATGTTCTAGTATGTTAACTAAGAATAATGATGTGTTGTGCATTTTAAGGATCACTAAGTCGAATATATTTATAAAATGTACAAAATTAAATTTTAGTTAAAGGTGTTTTTCTGGTCAAGTAGCTGCTAAAAAAAAAGGAAAACATTTCTGTTTGTTTATAAAGGCTAAGAATGCACTTTGTATGTAAATATCACGCACATTTTTTTAAATGGACTTTTTATGATTTCTGACTTCTGATTTAACCTTTAATGTCGTACACTATGTATTGCTATCACTATAAGTGCTGACATCTATAATAGATTGTTCCGGATGGTTTTGTGAAAACAAATCAACGTCAACGAGTGTCTGTTTGCTCATCTAATTTATATTAAATTAAATTTCATTGCTTAAACGTTGAAAACACTTGATCAATCATATGTTGTTCCGTATTTTTTAATGTAAATAGCATATAAATGCTAAAAGAAAATCTCTATACTGACTTATATTTCATTAACTATAAAGTTGTCTCGGAAATCGTTATAAAAATCATAAATTTTGTCAAATAATTGTTTGAAATCACATCATTGACTTACATGACACTTATATTCTTTTAAATTACGTCACTATAGTTTAATTATCGATATCAAATCGTTCCATATTTTCAACTTAAAACAAATGTATGTCAAATGACTTTTTATTTTCAAAAATATCGACAATAGATCGTTCAGAATTTTAAAATAAGAAAGTAATTTACTAGAAACGATTATTAAAAATCACTTTTTAGAGGCCCCCGTAAGGAGAAAAGCCGATAACTTATAACAGATTTTCCGCGGCCTCCTGATTTACCAGGAGCTCCTGGAAATCTCCCGAAATTAC